ACAAAAACTTTAAAAATTGTATTTTTGTTATTAGTACCGTTTATACTTTCATATGCCTTTACCATTTAGTAAAAAGCTGTAATTTTAACATTACAAACAGACACTTCAATTTTATTTATTTGTATAGATTATAGTGAAACATGTATCGAGTATTTTAATTGAAGTCTCATATAAGCGTAACTAAAATCTTACATCAAAATCGAAGCTTCAATTTTTGTTTTAAAAACTGTGATAACAGTAAAAATAATTCAATTGATATGTGAGGAAATGTTAGGAAAAATCGAAATAGAACGAAAAGAGAGACATTCCAAAAAAAGCTGTAAGTCTTTATTAATATGAGTGCTTTTGCTATCAACTATATTCAAAAGATAGCAATGGGAGCGCGTGCGGTGCTCGGCACGCACGGATCGTTAACATAGCGTCTCCGTCTCACGATACATCTAGCCGCGATTAAACTTTGATAGATAATAATCGAAGCTTTTATTACCGATCGGTCAATATAACCGCAAGTTCGTACAGAGCGCGTCAAGCGGACTGATTCCCGCTTGAGTACTTACGTTAATGGTGCTCGTTACACACTACAAACGACTGGTCTATAACGTAATGAATCTCCTACTAATGAATGATACGTCATATCAGCTTCCTACAAAAACTAAACAATGACCGAAAGAAATTCTAGTTGTCGGAAGTACGCATGTACATAATATATTTCTAGGCAAAATCTTAAACTGATATTCATTAAAATGATAAATTGTAACTACGGGTTATGTAAATGAACAAGAGACCAATAGAAGAGCATATAAATTAATACAATCTACGAGTAAAAAGGTGGGCGAAATCGGGAAGGATTTTTTTATGAAATTGAAGTAACAAAGTTTACCTGATGGTAAGTGACCACTGCAGTCTTTTTTTTATAGAATAAGGATGACAAACGAGCAAACGACCTGATGGTAAGTGGTTGCTGTGGCCCATAGACATCTACATCTGTCTTCGTTTGCGAATTAAAATGCAGATGCGTTGTCAGCCGTGAGGACTAAGATAGAACGCCTCTTTTCCAGTACAAAGGGTCTCCGGTTCTCGACACTTACCATATGAAACACAGAGCAGCATTAAGCTGTTATTTTACGCTGGTATTCTGTGAGAGCGTGGTCCTTCTCCGGTCGAGCCGACCCATTCGTGCTACAAGTATACTATTAATATAGCTGCAGCATGGCTCCACCACGTAAAGAAAGTAAAGAAGTCTACGGACACTTGCAGCTAACTTCAAAAATAGAAGGTTACAGAAGTCTTGTCATATCCTAGGACTAAGATTGGCCTGAATTATACTGGCTCTCCATACCCTTCCGACTGAAACACAACAGTGCAAGCAACTACTATTTGGGGGCAAAAATAGATAAGCGGATTGACTATTCAGAAAACTTATCTAGCTGAACATTTTGTAAAATTTGTCAACAACTTTAACTGTAGTTCCAACAACTATCATTATCGTATATGTGTGATATAGGCGTTGAATTGCCCACGTCTTGTTCATCGTAAACCTTCCCGTTCGCAGACAAAAATGCACGTAATCTTTTAGGATGAATTAATAATTACCGACATATTTTTATTCATATAATTTCTGGCATTTAAAAAAGAACTGATTTTGGGCCTACCCGGGATGCGGTATTGATGATTAGCAGTTGCGCTTGCGATAACTAAACCATCGAGACAGCCATTTGACATTTTTGTGAAGATAACACGGTTGCTAACGGAAAACATTTAGAAAGTATTAACAAGTAACCTAATCAAAAATATTTTATTATTTCATACAGACTTTAAAAATGTTGTATAATTCTGAGACTTCTATTTTTGTTATTTAATAAACGGCTCAGAAGGCTTTTATCAAAATATTCTTTTATTATATTTTTCTCATTCAATTTTGTGTCTATTACTTCCCCACTTATGTGAAGTTCTAAGAATTTCCATGTGTTTGCGGCGGATGTGATATAACAATCCTCTTTTATTACTCAATATATTTAACAAAAAGTATGGCTACCGAAGAGATAGTTTTAGAGATTTGAAAAAGAAAACAATCATAGTACGTTTAACTTATAACTTATAAGTGATTAACGACTGCTCGGTATTAGCGCAGTAATAGATTTTGGCCTGACCCGGGACTTCATGATCGGCAACTCCACTACGAGCACTGACCCAACGAGGTAATCAATAGAATTTGTTATTAATAAAACATGTTATTAAACAAATGAAAACGTTTGTTTACTTTTTCTTCTATGCTTCGTATTCCTAAATTCATGACATAATATTTTTCTAAGTGCAAGATTAACGGAATCCCTAAATTAGTTTAAAAGTTACAACAAACTTAAAGAAAAGTTTCATGATTTTTAGTTAAATAAATACCACCAAAAATTCCCGTGTGAACCACATAAAGTATTGTCCGTTTTACATGGCTCTCCAATGTTATTCCAATGATCAAGGGTTAAAACATATTATTCAAAAGTTAGCTTTGTCAAATTTAATTATTACTGTAAATTAAAATTAAAATTGTGGCATTATCAAGAAACGAAAATTTCAAATATTAAGTTTTGCATGGTTCCTCACAATCCTTTCAACAATTTGATCGAATCACACACCGAAGATCAAGGGTGTGTTTAGGTTCAGACACAGCAGTACTGAAAATTTCGGGAATCAAGGAAGTGACACAACATTACTATTTAAAATGTATTTATTGCTTTTCGAAGTATTCTCCGCGAAATTTGACACATTTTTCCATACGATGGAACCAATCATTCAAGCAACCAGTTGGGGTCTCCAAAATGGCCGTTTTGTAGGCGTCCACAGCTTCTTCAGGTGATGAAAATCTCTGTCCACGCTATTTATTCTTTATTTTAGGGAAAGTATAGAAATCATTAGGGCTTAGATCGGGGCTGTACGGCGGATGGTCTAATAATTCTATGTTTTCTTGCTCTAAAAACTCTTTTGTTCTGTGTGCGGTGTGAGAACTCGCATTGCCGTGATGGAGGATGATGCGACGGTTGCAGTTCTCTTTACGGAGTTCAGAAATGACCTGTGGCAAACAAATGCTAGCATACAATTCTGCATTAACCGTTCTTTGTCGTAGGAATAGTCGTAACATGGCCGGTTTTGGAGACAAACGTGGACACCATTTTTTTTGCAACACTCCGTGAACGAACAATTTATGTTGGCTTTAACTCATTTTTTCGAACACCCAAACTCGTGACTGGTTTTTTGTTTCGGGTTCGTACGCGTATATCCAGGTATCCAGGATTCGTCACCTGATGCGATGTTGTATACAGCATTTGAGGATTCTGCGTGGAATCTTTCGAGAGTTCTGACGCACCAAGTAACGCAAGTCGCTTTTTGCTCTTCACAGAGCGAATGCGGTATCCATCGGGAAAACAACTTTTTTACACCTAATTGTTCATGCAAGATTATTTGTATTTGACTCATGCCAATATCTAAAGTTGCCTGAATTTCGCGGTATGTCACATGTCGATCTTCCTCAATCAGCTTACGCACAACATCAACGTTTTCTTGGGTGACTGCAGTTTTTGCACGACCTTGACGGGGATCATCACTGAGCTTGACACGTCCACGTTGAAATTCAGCAAACTAGCGATAAATTGTGGTTTTGGATGGGGCTTCATCACCAAATGCAGAAATCATCCGGTCAACACACTGTTTTTGTGTTAAACCACTTCGAAAGTCATAATAAATCATCGCTCTTGAATTTTCTCGAGTCAATTCCTATTTTCTCAACGACTAAACAAGTTTGACAAAACCTTGTGACAAGACCAAGGACTTTTCAATTAAAAAGATTTTAATATGACAGGAACAGTGGAAATATTCCATTCCCGATACTTTTAGTGCAGCCTATGTATTTTCCCGCTATGCCTTGAGATCCATTGATAACATACTAGGCTACATCCATGTATTCATCGCTATCCACTGGGTGCCTAAAATTGTACAATTTATTGTGACCTCCGACCGATGGAGAAATAGACATAATAATATTTACAACAGCTAGACTCAGAATATTAAGCCTGGTGAAATGTTTGTGAATACTACAAAATTCGCTCAAAGAGATACCTAATGTGATGATGATACGATAATTGCGAAATATATCTGTTAATGTAGGTGTTTAATGATGTTATATATATAATCTATACAACTCTTAAATTAAACTTTTTATTGCTACTGTGTCAAATTTAATTTATTTTCGAAGTTGCACGTCTTGAAACTTTTTGTGCGACTAACACAAATCTACCGACCGTGAAATTTCATATCGTTAATGGTTTTAATCACGAGCTTACAATGTTCGCTGGCGAATTTTTGTTAAGGCTGATAATAAACTGAATGTAACAGCAGGTTTTTTTTTATAGAATTAGGGTGACAAACGAGCATACAGTCCACCAGATGGTAAGTAGTTGCTGTGGCCCATAGACGTCTACATCCATCCTCGATTACGAATCAAAATGCAGATGCGTTGTCACCCGTGAGGACTAAGATGGAATGCCTCGTTTCCAGTAAAAAGGGTCTCCGGATCTCTACACTCACCATACGAAACACGGCAGCATTAAGCTGCTATTTTACGCTGGTATTCTGTGAGAGCGTGGTCCATCCCCGGTCGAGCCGACCCATTCGTGCTACAACTATACTATTAATATAGCTGCAGCATGGCTCTACCACGTAAAAAATAGGTATTAAAGGTAATAAAGGTACACATATATTTATACTAAATAATATTACGCTTTTTTATATGGTGAGATATATAGTCGCCAATACAAATATACTATTATTTTTGAAGTTAATAATATAATATTAATACATGAAATATTATTGTAAATTTTATTTATTTAATTAGTGTTGTTTTCATTTGTTCTGAGTATGAAAATTCAAAAGACTTCACACAAAAAAGAATATTCCTCTGTTCTTCGAATATTGCAAATGCAGTAAACATTAAAATAAAAAAAAAAACGTACCAACAAGATCAGCACGAGAGCGCAGTTGACGGCGCTCGTCATGCTTGCGGTCTGCCACACTTGAGCGCGGAACCAACCGTTAAAGCTATCTGCCCCGATTACCTTACTGATGCTACCACAAAAAAATAAAGTGTACTTTATGGGGTACTGTAACTAGCAATCGTCACAAATATTTGAAGTTTAAATATTAACACTGGCACAATCGAAAGTTCGCGAGCCGCAGTAGTCGCACGTTGAAACGCTTGCGTAGGCTTCCCGCGCAAGTATCAAGTAAAGTGTGCTTGCGACGGACTCCGACTGTTGTTCGCGTGATGCCCCTACGGTGTCTCGAGACGGGACTGCGCCGATCGCGGTCGGCTCGCTCGCTTGATGAAGGAACAGTTACCCAATGCCGGGGAGGGCACCACCTGTTGCCCATACCCTACCGTTCTCACGGATCGACCACCGATCCGCCTCGCAATTCGGCAATCTCGTGATCTACATTGTTGATTGGCGTCGGATTAGGGGAAATTAGGTTCTAATATTCGGCGCAGACGCATTCACTGCCGTGACATTCGCGCAGAGAAATCACTGGAATCGCGGATTGAGTGACAGCGTACGGTTAAAGCTCGCAAGGTCGCCGATGTTATGTTCACTTCGTAATCTGTTCATCGCAACTGACTCCAAAAAAGTGATTGTTTGAAGATAGCTGATTCATTACAAGGAGACTGTTTGTTACTGTCCGAGCTAATTTAGGCTATCGGTTTGATACATAATTAAAAACGTTATTGGAATTCAGTCTCCGCTCGACTAAATTGATTTTTGGCCATTAGATACTTATTTCGTGTTTATATTCCGAACTATTTTTATTTGAATAATTGATATGATTTTTTTAATGTAATCACACATTTATAGAGAAACTATCACACAATCCATATTATGATGGTCAGGCGATACTGCGACCCATCTATACCTACATTTATTCTAGATTATGAAAAAAATGCATATTCCTTGTCACTCCTAAGGAGTGGAATGCTTCGTTACTAATAAAAAGAGTCTTTTTTATAGTATAAAGGTGATAAACTAGCACAGTGTACCACCTGATGGTAAGTGGATGCTGTGGCCCATAGACATCTACATTTAGATAAAGAATCAAAATGCAGATGGGGTGATAACACCCCTGAAGACTAAGATAGAATGCCTCTTTTCCAGTAAAAAGGATCTCCGGTTCACTCACCATAAGAAACACAGCAGCATTACGATGCTAATTTTGTACAACCGACTTCAATATAAATTATTAAGAATAACTCAAAAACTGTTGATTAAACATTGATCAAATTCATATGGGAAGCACCAGCTTTCAAATAAAAAAACAATAATCGAAATCGTTTCACCCAGTAAAAAGTTATGAGGTAACACACATAAAAAAAACATACAGTCGAATTGAGTACCGGCTCCTTTTTGAAGTCGACAGAAAATGTGAACAACACTACTAAATTTTAAGATAAATTTTATTAATGTAGTCGTTTCTTAAGGTAACACTTCTTTTTCTTCTTAAACTTAAACTTTTTTTTAACTAATGTAAGCTTTTATATTATCAGTTCATGTTGTGTTTACTTTTAAGTAATCTCTACACTTAGCTCGTTTATAGAACTATATTATATAAATAATAACTATATATATAGTATGTTGTATTTCGATCGTTAGAATTAGGTAGGGCAGATCGTAATCTGCCTGGGCATTACGAGCCGGAGATTTATTCGTGTTTATAATATTATATATATAAACTAGCTGTTCCCCGCGACTTCGCCCGCGTGTTATTTAGGGTTTTAATTATGTTGCGCGGAACTCTAGTTCTTTTTCTAAAATATAAGTAGCCTAAGTTACTCCTCATAATTTTAGCTATCTGCCAGTGAAAGTCCCGTCGAAATCGGGCCAGCCGTTTCGGAGATTAGCCGGAACAAACAGACAGACAAACATTTTCAAAATTGTGTTTTTGTTATAAGTACCGTATATACTTTCATATGCATTTAGTAAGAAGCTGTTATTTTGACATTACAAATAGACACTTCAATTTTATTAATTTGTATAGATGTACGCGGCTTTACCTACTGTCACTGATATATTAACGGAAGTAAAGTTATAAATTGTCGATCAAATTATGAAACGTATCATGAAATGCCCAGGCAGTTTACGATCTGATCAATTTTAACGATCAGACTACGATATACCTAAACATTAACAGTATATTTAATTATTTGTAAACCTAATAAAACACTTAACTGCCTATAAATGCTTCAAAACCATTCATCGTCATGTTGTTTGTTAAATAAATAAACGACGGACATAACAACGAACAAAATTCCGAAGATACATTTCTCTTTCAATTATTGATTTGAACAAGTGGGATGAGGGAAGTAAAGACTGTGTAAGAACCTCCGAAGGAGGCGGAGTTATAGCGGAAATAAGAATTTAAAATTTTTTGGTTTTTGGTCATTTTGACCCCATAGGAGTGTAATGAGAACTTTTTCCCCCTATTCAACCATGACCCTCATGACATCCTCTACATGATAGGCTATTTAAATTGACTATGCCTAAAGTTCGTGAAGCCCCCAATTTTCTGGTTTCTGGCCATTTTGACCCCCTAGGAGTCTAATGAGAACTTTTGCCCCATTCAACCATGACCCCCATGTCATCTTCTACATGATAGGCTATTCAGATTGACTAGGCCTAAAGTTAGAGTCACCCCCCCCCCCCCCCTAACTCATTTCTAGTCTTTACTTCCAATCACTTCCAACAAGTGGGATGCGGGAAGTAAAGACTATGTAAGAACCTTCGAAGGAGGCGGAGTTATAGCCGAAATAAGAATTTTAAATTTTTTGGTTTTTGGCCATTTTAACCCCCTAGGAGTGTAATGAGAACTTTTCCCCCTATTCAACCATGACCCCCATGACATCCTCTACATGATAGACTATTCAAACTGACTAGGTCTAAAATTCGAGTCACCCCTCAACTCATTTCTAGTCTTTACCTCAAATTACTTCTAATTAAATAATAAAGGGACTATACGGTACTATAATGCCTTCACATTTTGGGATGAACATACTACTAATTGCCAGAATTTTTAGATAAATTTAATTTAATAATAATGAAGATAAATCGAACCCGCATGATCATCAGAAAACTAGGGTTCAAATATATCAGTCGGCCAACATTGTTGCAAAGACACTAATCGAATTATTTTCAGCTCTAATTTTGTAGTGATTTTCCATATATCTCTGACTCTAGCACCCCGGTCATCTATCGCCACTGTTTTGTTAGGTAGAGTGATTTCATGCTTGCAATAAGTATGGGCACATTACACCTTCTTCACATTTGACAGCTTTTGATTATTCAGAATTTGACAATATATAAAATCAGCCAGGAGGAAAAGAACATAACAGTATGCACTTCTATTCGATTGTGGATTGTTGAGTATAGGTTTATTTTACGGCGACAGAATCTTCCATACTATTAAGTACAGGATATTATCATATCTAGGCTACAGAAACAAGCAAGGCGAAATCCTATAACTAAGACACGAGCCTAGAAAACGGTGACCGTTGATTAGAAAGCTGGTTTACGTACGTACTGCCTATTAACTTAATAGCAATAGAGTGTTAAAAGCGTCGCTACCAATATAATAACATTAAATGTTACTAATTAGATGTTGAAAGAATGGATAAGATGTCATTTGAGAAATATAACAAAATGAAAGAATATTTGTCTTATTGGAACGAAGTTCTTTATCGGACGGTAACGGTAAGTTCTTTATCCGCCATCCGCCAAATTCGTAATTTGGCAGATGGGGGCCAGGCGAGAAAAAGTATAAGATTTTTTCATCACCTAATGATGTAGTGTAGACGACCTTGGCTGCTATAAGGAAGCGAGATGGAATAATATCCATCGCCCTCGCACTTTCTCTTATATCTTGCCATGAAAGAAATATTATTTTATTTTAAATGACGCTTCTTTTTAATAGACGCTAGTAATTCATTTATTTGTATGTGTTAATCAATAATATAATACGTTTATCAACAATAATATATTAGGCTTAACTAATGGCAGGGCGCGGATCGCGAACTCGAAAGGTCGTGGGTTCGAATACGCTATTCACTACTGTCGTGAACCACTTCTAACACAAGCATTTTAAGCTTACCAGAAGTAGTTTAAGGGAATGTTAGGAATGTTTAATAGCATTCCTAGTATTTAAAAAAATACTACGAAAGGAACTTCGTTCCAACCGAGTGTTCCACGACACTCACGCATGATGTTTTATTTTTGAATTGAGAATGAAAATTAACACTTTAAATGATTCCACTATTAGCACAAGACCGAGATGACACAAACATAAGTATAAAATAGAAAAAAGAAGTTGTTTTAACAAAATTGAAACGACAAGCGAATCAACAGTTCACCTGATGGTAAGTGGCTACTGCAGCCCACATGGCCTCCTGCAAACAAACTTATAAGCGAGCAAGCCAAAATGATGAAAGACTACTCATGTTTTATAATTTATATAATAAATGTTCTAGAATGTTACATTATTAATTCATCCCTTTTCATAATCGCTGTGGTAGCGTAGCACAGGGGCTAAGGGCTCGCTGTTAATCACAGTAGCCCGGGTTCAATAGCCACATTTTGGCTTTCTCGTAAATCGAAATAGTTGGATATCTAAAAGGTAAATACAATGCAACTTTTAAAACCTCTCTTTGTGCACGTTGTAAGTCAAGGAAGAACGTCTTAGCTGATCCTCCCCAAGCACATATGCAATAGGTATATATATTATACTCTCACATAATGCTTTGGCATGTATAAAGGCCGGCAACGCATCGGTTGTTCATGGGCGGCGGTAGTCACTTACCATCAGGTGAACCGCATGCTCGTTTGCCCCCTCTCCTATAAAAAAAAAATTAACTTTGTTACAACTCTGCGTAAGTCCTTAAATACATAAATTAACTTTCTAACTCTGTTTGCCAGTATATAATATGTGTCTTCCAATTTAGCCTTTGGTCAACAAGGAC